TAAATCAATTTATTATTACATATTTACTTATAATATAGCATAATTACCCCCACTCCACCTCCACCACCCCTACCGCTTTAGGAATTATTCTGACTACTATTCCAGTCACAACTCTTCTCCAACGACTGTTCCGATTCCGACGACTATTCGGATGACCGTTCCATCGCCACTTTATTCCGATGACTGTTCCAATTCCAACAAGCGTTCCAACTCCGGCTAATATATTAAGGTCACAGATCTACGCAATTTAGTCACAATTCGAAAATTTTTAGGTCACAATTTGTTAATCGGTCACAAATTAAAAATTTAAAAGTTACAATTTGTTCATCGATCACAAATCACAAAATTTATAAGTCACTAATTATTTTATGGTCACAAACATCACATTAACTGAACATAAATTATATTTAGGTCACAATTTATCAAATTATTGGTCACAATTTAATAATTTTTAGGTCACACGGCATGTATTGGTCACAGTTTATCTAATTAATTGGTTTCATATTGTTTATTGGTCACACAACAACCAAATTATTGGTCACAATCAACCAAATCATTTGTGACCACTATTTCGCCACTGCCTCCGCCAGTGGCACCACCACCGGCGCCGCCTAATAGCAACATCAACATCTTAAAACGAACAACACGCCTTCCCCAGCAACACTATCACCACCCCAAACCCACCACCACCACCACACGCATGCACAACATATCCACAACCGCAACACGGAAGCACAACGAATCCCGATCCCACCGCATCTCCACCACCATCACGCAGCACGACCACCCCTGCCCATACACGCCACCGTACCACCATGGCACCTACAGCAATCGTCAAACCACCACCATTCAACCGCACTTCCACCTCCATAATAGTCATTCAAATCGCGACCATTGTACAGAAATAACCACCGCTATACGCACACACGAACACACACATACCCTATCACATCGCAACCTTACTCCACACCTCCACCACCACCGCATCGCTCAAACAAAAAAATAAAGATCTACACCTCCCCGTCGCCGCACCAACACACACCCCATCGCACGATCATCGCCGTACGCACGCACACCCACAGCACCGCACCCGCTGCAACACAACCATCGTACAACCTCCGCCACACCGAAGACCTCCACCACACCACTCAAAAATTTAAAAAAGAAATAACAGAGACGGTTGGATCTGCATTGCATAATCACAGAAGAGAGAAGACATCGTCGCCGGCAGATATATGAGGCGTTACGCCGATGAGGGAGATGAGAGAAGACAAAAACGAAAATGAGATAAACGGACGAGAAGGAGAAAAAAATGAACGGTTAAGGAGAGAGATGAATACTAGGTTTTGATTTGGGTAAAATTAATTAATTGAGATGAAAATTAATAATTAATATTTAATTAGATATAAAAAATGTGATTTTTGAAAAGTTAAACTTGTAATCTGATTTATGAAAATAATTTTTTAAATCCAGGTCTATGTGTAATTTCCTCTTTTTAAAATCTATATCTCTAGGTTTTAAATAGAGGAAATTATACCAAACCAAAATTTTAAAGATTCAATTTCAAAAATCAGATTAAAGGTTTCACTTTCAAAAATCAGATATTTTATTTTAAAATTAATTATACAATATTCATCCAAACCCTAATCAATTTCCCAATTTTCCTTTTCTCTCTCTCCGTCTCCGTCACTCTCTTCTCTTCTTCCTTCTTGCTTGAGTTTGTCGCACACAGTGGCGATCGGGAGTTCGCCGTTCGCAATCTAGTGTTGGTGTTCGCGGTGGCGCTGATGGCTCCGTTAATTAGATCGGACGAGGTGGTGGTGATGTGTGGTAGTGTTGGTTGTTCTAATAGTGGTGGTTTTGGTGATGTGGGTGGTGGTGGTTGGATCTGGTAAGGTTGTTCAACAACACCAATGTTGGTGGTGGTTCCCAATCGTCGCAATGATGTTGATGTGGCTAAAGTCGACAGGATCCCAATTTTAAACAACAATGTTGGATGTTTCAATCGACCGATCAGGATGTTGGATGTTTCAATTGGTTGTAGGAATTGATGTTGTTGATCATAGTTTTGAGTCGGCAAGTAGGGAACTTTGTGGATAGAGAGGCTAAGGCTAATTGGTCGATTATGCTATTGATTTGAGGTCGGAGCTGCAATCTCTGGCTGTGATTGTGGTGTTGTGGGTACGGTAATGGTGATGCGTGGTGTGGATGCAATGTCGTGTACGGTGTTGTGGTTGGGTGCAGTACTGTGTGTGGTAGTGTAGTGATATGTGTTGTAGGTGCGGTGTGCTATGTGCGGTGGTGTGGTGGTGGCTCGACGTTGTACAGTGGTGCTAATCGATTGTTGTGAGGTGGTGGATGTGTTGATTTGTTTGGGATGGTGTTACCTTCGAGAGATGGTGGCGGCGATGGTAGTTCTAGCTTCGACAGTGGTGGTGCTGATAGGAGTGGTAAGGTGGTGGTCACAAGTGTTGGTTGTTGTCACAGGTTATTTGGTTGTTTGTGACCATTAAATTTATTAATTTTTGACCGATAAACAATTGTGACCAATGAAAAATATAAATTGTGACCAAGAAATAATATGTGACCTAAAGAATTGTTAATTTGTGATAAATATGTAGGGCTTTACAGTGACAAGAAACAAGATAGATGTTAGACTATATATTCCATGTTTGAGTCAGCTTAAAAAGTAATAGTAAATCTAAATTCAATCATACATTTCATTAATTTTCATCAAAACCAAACGAGGGCTAAATTGATTGTTGAATTAAAGTAAAGTGACTAGATTTAGCGAAAAAGCAAAAATAAAACCTTTATAAGTTTATTTGTTAAATCTCGATTTGGAGTTTGGACACTAATTTCAAATATACATTCATAACTTTTACTTATTATTATTCACACATTTCATGAGATTTATAAATTTGCCAAAAGAAAACTAAATAAAGGGACCAGTTTTAGTGAAGAAGGTAGTGAGAGAGAAAATGTGAGGGTCCTTAACCTTTGCAGTAAAGAACACTTTTGGAGATAAAAGGTCATCTTTACAAAAATTGCAAAAGAGATCTTCTAATAAATTCGGTCTCTCTATTTGTTCTCATTTATTAAGATTTTTCCCCATTATATTTAGATGTGAGTATTGCTTCCAGCTAAAGAAATATTGCTCTAAATCTGTTTGCCTTAAAAGCAGCCAGGCACCGTGCCTGGACATGATTTGGCCAAGCATCGCCAGTTTGCCTTATAAGCTACCAGGCACCGTGTCACGGACCGCATGGTAGTGACACGAG